TAAGTTTCATCAAATCCCGCTCAGACTAAATTATTTTAAAAATAAATATTTCCGAGCGAAGTCCAAGTCCAAGTCCTTTTAAGAAAAAAAAAAAAAAAAAAAAAAGAAAAGCTCGACCACGTTCAGACTGCTGCTAGCTAGCCTAGGCTGCTAACAGTCTCCGCCTATATTTGTGGTCTGGGTTGTTTGCGTCACTTTCGTGACTGAATACTGGTGTTTGCGCCATTTCTGGCTTAATGCTTCCATCCGAATCAAACCGCTCGTCCTGTTGTCACTGGAGCATGTCTTCCTTCTTCATTCTTGGTGTTTCCTGTTTGTTCTGTCTCCCTTTTATCTGGCTAGGCGTATCTAAAAGGAGAGCGAGCTTCCAAACACAACGACCTTTCGGCCACCATTTATTGTTTTAAAATTTTGAGTATTTTAATTTTGCCAAAAAGTACTGAAAACAGTTTTTGAATGTGAATAGTTCCGAAATGTGAAAATTTTCCGCGTGTGACCATAGTGGTCTTATAGTTGTCTTCCTGTAATATGAACGGGTTAGTCATGTAATGGATATGTGTGTGAGAGTTTGTGTGGAGTCTTAAGCGGGTCCAGTCGTCATTTGTTATTATGTGATCGGGTTGTGTTGATAGCTAAGCTCCGGTGTACGTAAATACCATATAACCGGACCATCCAGCTCACGCTTTGAGATCCAAATGATCGGCGATGAGAATTGTTGTGGCATGTTGGGCAACGAACTCAAGTGCTCTCTGTGGGAATGGGTTAGGGGGTTAAACTCATAGTGCATCCGAAAGAGTTAGGGAAAGGTGGGGGGAAGGGGAGCGGGAGGCCATTCAGTCAATTCTCGTCGTTGCCGTCTTGCTGGATTCTAGCGTGGCTTTTTGCCGGGACTATGTGTATCACGTTACCAACCTTTGTTATCATCCCAGTGATGAGGTGGTATTAGAGGTTATGCGTTCTAGTCCTGTCATTATCGAGTCACTTGTATTCCCTATTTGCTGTCAGTCATATTTTGTTATGAGTCCTGTCGGTCATGTGCATGTTGTATGCATGCTGTGGAGTGAGATGGTTTTGTTTATGAATCCCCGGAGTATATGGACGCACCCAACTAGGTGTATGCGTACATGCACTCGAGTACTCATACATGCAGACAACACTACATATATGTACGTCCTTTCATACTTATCCGTGTATGCATACCTAATTGACATTACGTACACACGCAAACTCTTTCATATGCGTTTACCAATGCCTGTACTTAAATTCATAAAAAAACGAGTACATCCACACGTAGTGATATTCACTCTTCCATGTCTTATGCGTTTTGTGTCGCTTTGTCTGTAATTTCGTCTGGTCGTGTCACTTTTAAGTTATGTCCCGTTACTGGTATGTGACCTGTCCGGTACTGACGTATCATGTTTTGGTGGATTGTGTGCGTTGATGACGTTCTTGCTGCTTACACCCTTCATTCCATTTGTTCTCATTAATGAACAGACATACAGCAACACAGTTTATGGTTTCTTTGATTGCACTGTCATTCATACACTCACAAATATATAAATATACACGCTCTCATATATATACACACATGCACACTCATACCCACATATACATGCATACAGTAATACATTTAAATCCATGTACTCATTCATCTGTACCTTTCGCACAACTATATTCCCACTGTTCCGTCCACACGTGATTCCGTACCATCCACCTACATACACTGTGTCTTATGTATCCATCCTATACACAAATGCACTCATACTACACGCACTCATCCTTGTGTATGTGTCCATGTTCACATCTATGCACTCATCATACTTACACTATCTCTCTGACTCTAGGATATCCGGGGTTACCATCTCATCAGTTCCATCTGTTATACTGAGTAAATCCCTAATCTGGTCTTTTTAGTTTTGATTTGTTTTAATAAGGTATTGTTTAACCAGTTTTTGGATGTCTTTATTGCTATCTACATTTTAAACATTTGTTTGCAGTAATTTGTTGTTTGCGTTTTAGAAAAAACTCCTCAATGGGTTTTCCTCTCCAATTTATATTTAGTGCAGTTTTATTATATAATGCTCTAGTGTATTATCTTGAAAGCAGTCCAGACATAGTGGAGATGTAAATTTCTCTGGGTGCCACCCTAATCTAGCTCTCCATAGTAGTTTGTTAGCTGGAATTTTCAGTTTGTCCCGTACCTGTGTGTTAAGGCTGGGCTCTTTAAGGTTATTGTAGGCATCTCTGCCATTATTGCTCCCTTGCCATTGTAGTTTCCACATTTTAATTATATGTCGTTTGATTATGCTGGTCCTTTCTGTTTTTCCGAGTCCTACATCTATTAAAACATCACATTTTGCTCCCTTTTTGGCTGCTATGTCAGCTTTTTCATTGCCTATTACACCTCTGTGTGCTGGTACCCATGCAATGGTGACTTGGCATCCTTTATTCTTGAGCTGAGTTGTTAGATTTAGGATTGTCTCTTTAATATCTGGTCTACTGTTAGTTTTATGTGTTTTTAACGTCTGCACCGAGGACAATGAATCTGTCAGTATGGTAAATTTAGTTGGAGGTTTATTAATTATCATCTCTAGTGCCTTCATTATGCCGACTAGTTCTGCTGTGCATACTGCCACATGATCTGTTATTTTATATTCTCTTTGTATATTCCACTGTGGGATTATTACTCCTGCTCCTACTTCTCCTGCTTCATTCTTAGATCTTCCGAGCGAACTCACGGTCTCATTCATCAGCACGACGCCGATAAGCCTGAGCGATCATGATTGGTCATCTCCCAGGGTTACAAGGATCATTGATCTGTCTGTTGAGCCCGGCTCTCTGGCGTTGTTGGCTAAACCGAATTGCGCGGTGACCGGGTGACGAACTCCTTGTGGTCCGGGTTCAATCCCGGGGGTAGGCAGGAAAGCCACATTTTCTCCCAGATTTACGGTATTTACAATGGAATGAAGGCCGAAAGGTTGCGATATCCATAATACCGAGCCCAAGGGTTAACAACTCATGGCTTCTGGATACTAAAACAAACAAACAAAACAAACAAACATCTGTCTGTTGCCTGTGTCATCAGTTGCTTGTTCCAGTCCGTCCAAGAATTTATCTTCATCACTGTTTCTTTTTGCCACCAACTTTACAGTTTTTGCTGACCTTCAAAGTTGCCTTTTTTTCCCCCTGCTATAAAACGACACAAATCTGTCACTGTTTACGTTTAATTTTGTTTAATCACTTTGATGCTTTCATCGGTTTGCTGAACTGCCTGCTTCGTGTTATCGACAGGTTGCAGGAGTAAGTAAAGATCCCTTTTCAGGCCTTTGGCGCATCGGTCATATGGGAAAAGGACACATATTTTTACAAACCAATCGGCACTAGGTGGGTAATGTAGCCAGCATTACGCCGACCGTCTTCACTTCCCCACGACATACATCCTGGTACCAATTTTAGGCTGGATCGACCTGTTACGCCACATACTATGATACAAATCCACGCAAACAGTTTCGATCAGACTCACAAAGCCTTAGCCACGGACGCCTCAGCTGCAGTAGTAATAGCAAAAAATAGTTCAAAAGTGTCGGGTAATTAAATCCTCAAGGCGTCAACACGGCAACAACCAGCTAGACACCACAAACTTTATGTGAAACCCCCTTTCCACTGACTCACATCCGTCGACGAAAATCATTCGGGGTGGCCAGGAGCGCGAATTATGGGGAGTTCGCTTTGTCTTGATTTCAACAATGGTATCGGGAGCCGTCAGTCCAGTGCAATGGAACACTAGTGCACGTAAAACTGCAGTAAAAGCAAACGTTCCAAAAACTACTAGGCCAGGTTCTGCAATGTCCTGTAAAGGACACAGATCTAAAGGTGTTTTATTAATATTGTACCTCCAGATGACGTCAAAGGACAGTCCAGCATTTTAGAGGGTGGTAAGACGGTTTCCAGGCGTTCTGATGCATATAATGACCCCAAAACATCTAGAACAGGCGCTAACCCCAACCCACCTACGTCCCACGAGAGAGGGGGACCTAGGTCTCATGACTGCATGCAGCCTAGGTTCCAGGACGGCATGCAGCCTATCTCGTGACCTGTGGATTTTCCCTGATTGGAGTAGGATATTAATAAAGCATTGATCTAACTTATATCCCGATTTCGAGATATTATTATATTTATTTGGTGAAACTATGGGGGTGACTGCAGTCAAACTAATACAATGAAATTCATTGTATGAGCTTTTTAGTCAAATTTCTCTGGAATTCATTATATTTATTTGACATACAGCATATTACTATTATTATTATTATTATTACCCACTTAAGCAAGATTTGACCCCCATGATGACCACACCCTCTCTTCTCCCTGAATACTAGTAAAACAGCCCAGGCCCATTCCTAAAGTTCTCTTTATAGTGACGCCTCTGACGGTAGCAACATGTTTCGCGTATCAGTTGAAAGAGATCGATGTAAAGTCAACATACTAGAGATCATCTTTTTATTTGAGCGAAAACATTACAGGCAGACGCGTTGGGACAAACGCTTGTTGTAAATACAATCCATACAAGCTGTAGTATTCATTGAACTGTATTGAAGTGAACAGTTAATAATTCCTTCTATTCACACCCCTGGATATATGGTGATGGACGCCTATTTTATTGATCTATGTACTGCTGCATTATTTCAAGCGATGATAGTTGTAATGATAAGCCAACTTTCTCATATTTTCTGTGGAGGCGTTGATTAAAAATTAACATTGTTCTGGTGCTGTAAATGTATTTGTGAGACTTTTTATCGGGAAACAACTACCGTTGCTAAGTAACATCAACTGTGTTTTCTTGCGCATCAGCTCCATTTCTCGGCAAATGTCCTTCAGCTAGCAAGTGTCATGCACAGTATTCGCACATTTGTAACCTATTGGATGTTGGCCTGTGGTGGAGTCTTCCTGATGTTGGTGTATTTGTTTGGCTCTACCAGACAGACAACAAAGGCGTTTACCAGCAACAGACGCAACCCCTTTCATAAACCTGTAAAAGCTAACCTATCAGTATCAAATATCGGGGATACTGTTGAAGAACTTGGCCGCGTTCTTAAACACAAATTGAAAGCCATAAATCTAAAGCCAGCAGACGAGTACAAACCTACCTGCCAGACAAATGCAACGATCGCTAACAGTTGCGACAAAAACTGCCTCCAAACCCAGCTGCCAGAAAATCCTACATACAGAGTGCAGCAGCTTGTGGCTCCTGATCAGCTTCAGATGTCGCCACAGGAACATCAGGTTCTCCGTGAGATGGCTGACAAGGTGGAGGGAAATTATGATATCATTCTTCTAACTGCAGGATCCTCGAATCATTTTCTAGAATCACAAGCGCTTCTTAAGAATCTGCACGAGGAGGTATTTCCTCACCTGAAGAACTTCACGCTCATATTTTATAACTTAGGCCTCACGTCACAGGAAAGAAATTTGATGACGAAATATTGCAAGTGTCAGGTGACAGATTTTCCTTTCGAGAAATTTCCCAAATTCATGGCCAAACTAACATGCTATGCCTGGAAGCCAGTGATGATCAAAGCTCATCTACAGAAAGCACGTTTTGTGTTTTGGATGGATGCTTCCATTAGGTTTCACAGTTCAGCGAAAAAAATGTTTTTCCAGTTTCTGAAAGCAGCACAGGAAAGAGGTCTTCAGATTGGAGGCTCTGGAGCTGATTCTACTTTCCGGACATCGCGAAGCATGTACCACTTCTTCGGCGATGAACCGTGTGCATATTTAGGTCTTGGTCAGGCGCAGGCTACTTTAGGAGTTTACTACAGAGAGCATTTTGTAGATAGGGCTATTTTAGAGCCGTGGGTAGCTTGTGCACTTAAGGAGAAATGTATCTGCCCTAGTAATGATTCTGTTGGGGACTGTTCAGCCAGTAAAACAGCTGCCATGAACTACTATCACAGTAAAAGTGGCATTGTGTATGGTCTCTGTCACCGATTCGATCAATCAGCTATAAGTGTGATACTTCATAAACTGTACCAGGAGTTTTATAAATGGGTCATGGTACAGTCTGAATTCTTGCTAAGTATTCGGCGTAAACATACGCTTCTCTATTTTCCACAGGAGTAGATATATTTTAGAATGAAAAGAAAACCTTCCACCTCCTAATATTTGACATCGTTTAGCGTTGTTCATTTTTTTTTTCAATGTTTTCTGATACTTTTTTCTGCTTTACTAATTCTGAGGGGTTAAGGAAGTTTAATTTTCCCACCACTTTTCCAGTTTCTTCGTCCATTTATGGTTTCGCAAATACTCTTTCCGTCCCTATTTTCCTGCTATTTGACTTTTTCTTTTCTGCTAATTTTCCATGTCCTTGTCCTTGTTTGGTAGCCTATTATTCCAGCTGTTATGTTCGTTAACAACGACTCAAGTCGATATGTCTGTAGACTTTCGCACCCTTCTTTCTGTGTATAGTCTGTAACATCTTAAGTTGCATATCAAAATAATTACGTATTTAAAACCGTCAAGTTATCCTAAATGTTTTGCCTGTGTTTCTCTTTATTTATAATTGAAATAATTTCTTCTCGTGGTAGTAGCAGCACTAGAATTTCATTAGAACACAGTTATATGGTTCGGCCATTTAACTTGGTCTACCAAGATATAGTATATACCTCAACAGTCAGTTATCAAGTATAAACGGAAAGAAGGGAAGGCCATGTAAAAGCCATGGACAGACCAGGCGGGCAGACATTCATACTGTGTGAGGCAAACTTTGAGGAGGCCTTTGAGGATAGAAAGGGTAAAAAAAAAAAAAAACGAAAAAGCTGGTGAGAGGGAGTAAGGCGCTAACCCTACAGATAATAATAATAATCATTTACTAAATGATAAATGAACATAATCATACATTTGAATCATAAGAAATGTAGAAACGAAAACTTTTAAATAGAATATGTGTACTTGCTTAAATAGCAAGACTCATTACTATGCACTAGCTCATCATCATCATGTAGCAGAACGTCGCTCTCATCACAGTCTGCCCGTAAGAAACTCAGTCTCTTGCCAGTTCTCCCGCCTCATGAACTTTCACACTCAAGGAGTCACATATATCCTGTGCCCATCTTCGTGTCGGTCGGCCCCTACCCCTCCTTCCTGGTACCATGCCTTCTGCTATAATTTTTTCCAATCCGTCGTGGCGCTTGACATGACCAAAATATTTCAGCTTTCGAGAAAGGATGCTGTTTATTAGCCAATCTTTCTTGATGTTCAGATCTTTTAAGATGTCAATATTTCTCATCTTCTTTGTTCAAGATATACTGAGAATCTTTCTATAGCATTTCAGCTCAAAAGTCCCTATTCTCTTTCTTAAAGACTGAGAGATAGTCCACGACTCACATCCGTATGTTGCTACTGGGAAGATGCATGCTCTCAAAATTCTAATTTTTATCTCCTTGCTGGTGCTTAACCATAGACTTTTAAGGCTGTTCAATCTTTGCATTGCCAAGGCCATCCTCCTTTGAATTTCTGTCGAACAGTCTCCATTGTTGTTTATTATAGAGCCTAGATATTCAAAGTTTGTGACATTTTCAATTTCTTCATCATTTATTGTTATTTTTTGGTGACAGCCAGTTTTATCTGTGGACATTATTTTCGTTTTCTTTAAATTCAAGAACAGATTTTGATCTTCACTGTGCACTAGCTCAGTGGTCGGCAAATAGCGGCTTGCGAACCGCATGCGGCTCTTTAGCGACCTGAGTGCGGCTCGGCCAGTCGGCCACAAATCTGTTTTGACTCCTAAAAACATGGCTCTTGACAGGTTCTTGACAGGTTCTTGACAGGTTCTTGACAGGTTCTTGACAGGTTCTTGACAGCTTCTTGACAGGTTCTTGACAGGTTCTTGACAGCTTCTTGACAGGTTCTTGACAGGTTCTTGACAGCTTCTTGACAGGTTCTTGACAGGTTCTTGACAGCTTCTTGACAGGTTCTTGACAGCTTCTTGACAGGTTCTTGACAGCTTCTTGACAGGTTCTTGACAGGTTCTTGAAAAGAAATTGGGCTCTCAACAAAATGTTAATCGTCCTGCTGCTGATTTTGTTGTTGTTGTTGTTGTTGTTGTTGTTGTTGTTGTTGTTGCTCTAAAGAGTTTGCAGATCACTGTAAAGGCCCAATCCGCACAGCGTTGAAGATACCTGCTGTGTCCAGGCTTTTTGCCGCATGGACTGGTGCATTGCTTGTCACTGGTTCCACTAGCTCATAACATTTTACGCTGCATGACTAAGTGTGAAGATCCAGGTGACGGAGGCTAAGTGCGCTTTTTGAAAGCTTTCTACTCATTCAGAATGTATACTACCTGTTGTGGTTTACTGAAGCATCATCATGAAGTATGAGACAATGACTGTATGAAATGACAATGGAAATCGCACTTAACCTCCCTTACCTGGATCTACACACCTGGTAATGCGGGTGTAAAGGGAAATGAGCGAGCGGATCGACTGGCAAGCAGTGCACTAAGGCATATGGAAAGAAGCATTGACAGAGCAGACATCGTCAACGCTGTACGGACTGGGCTAGTGGATAATAAGGATTCCCAGACACTAACACCGGTTGTCCAGTTTCATATTGTTTGATGAAATCAGTTCACTATCATTGTGAATTTGTTAGTAACTATTTAAATACATCACATATATTTCTGAATGCTGCATGCAACAACGCGTATAAGTATCATGAATGGTATATTATTTTAAAGCTAAGTGAAGCACATTACAACAGACCATACAGCTGCAAATATACATACATCAAACACAAAAATTCCCCATGTTAATACCGGGTCTCGTTGTTGAGAAAGAAATGCAAATACTCGCCGCCTCCCCAACGAGCATGTAGTAAGAGTTAACTTATTGTAGCTTCCTTCAAAGTCGGAATGTGTTTACCTGAGAGGCAAGAAACAGCAGTCTGTATACAATTAAGTCAAATCTGTATAGCATATGTGCGTGCATAATTTTCTGCCAGAGTTTACAGCCAGTGATCGCGAAGCAGAAGATGATTACAAAAATCAAGACAATTGGTTTAGGATTAATATTAGTACACTGCTTCACCATATAGTTATATTGTCAGTTAATAATTATTAAAGAGGCAAGTAAATTTCTGTGAGAGCTTAGTAAATTATGAAGATATTTTTTCCACTTACGTAGAAACTGCTCCAAATAATCTTGATATAGTGTATCCACAATGAAGGTGCACCACTTAAAATGAGTATGCATATTCAGTATAAAAGCAATGGTTTTTTTTCTAGAGCAATTTTTATAATAATACTATAGAATTCTACAATTTCTTCTCTTAACTTTATACAAGTTAGAATGTACATAGACATACATGTGTGTTTTTAGATGAGAGAGGGCAAAAATCAGTATCTACCGAAGAAATTGAATTTAGATGTTTCCTATTGTTAGTGAAAATCAGTTCCTTATCATTGTATTTGGGTAATTTTTTTTAAATACATGACACAGGGGAGATAAGTTGTTCCAGGTGGAAGCAGTTTGAGGTAGATGCTGCATACACAACTTCTGCTGGTGCTGTACAGTCTGAGGTGAATGATACATAAAAAATGTCTGCTGGTGCTGTACAGTCTGAGGTGAATGATACATAAAAAATGTCTGCTGGTGCAGTACAGTCTGATGTAGATGCTACATGAAAATTGTCTGCTGGTGCTGAACAGTCTGAGGTAGATGCTACATGAAAAACATCTGCTGGTGCAGTACAGTTTGATGTAGATGCTACATGCAAAACTTCTGCTGGTGCAGTACCAACTGATGTGGATGCTACATACAAAGCTTTTTCTGGTGCTGTACAGTCTGAGGTAGATGCTACATGAAAAACATCTGCTGGTGCAGTACAGTTTGAGGTGGATGCTACATGAAAAACATCTGCTGGTGCAGTACAGTCTCATGTAGATGCTACATGCAAAACTTCTGCTGGTACAGTACAGTCTATTGTAGATACTACATGCAAAACTTCTGCTGGTACAGTACAGTCTCATGTAGATGCTACATGCAAAACTTCTGCTGGTACAGTACAGTCTATTGTAGATGCTACATGCAAAGATTCTGCTGGTATAGTACAGTCTGATGTAGATGCTACATGCAAAACGTCTGCTGGTACAGTACAGTCTGATGTAGATGCTACATGCAAAACTTCTGCTGGTACAGTACAGTCTGAGGTAGATGCTAAATGCAAAACTTCCGCTGGTACAGTACAGTCTGAGGTAGATGCTACATGCAAAACTTCTGCAGGTGCAGTACAGTCTGAGGTAGATGCTACAAGCAAAACTTCCGCTGGTACAGTCCAGTTTGAGGTAGATGCTAAATGCAAAACTTCTGCTGGTACAGTACAGTCAGAGGTAGATGCTACATGAAAAACTTCTGCTGGTACAGTACAGTCTGATGTAGATGCTACATGCAAAACTTCTGCTGGTACAGTACAGCATGATGTAGATGCTACATGCAAAACCTCTGCTGGTACAGTACAATTTAACGTGGATGCTACATGGAAACTTCTGCTGGTGCAGTACAGTTTCAGGTGGATGCTACATGCAAAAATTTTGCTGTTGCAGTACAGTCTGATGTGGATGCTACATGCAAAACTTCTGCTGGTACTGTACAGTTTGATGTAGATGCTACATGCAAAGCTTTTGCTGGTACAGTACAGTCTGATGTAGATGCTACATGCAAAGATTCTGCTGGTGCTGTACAATTTGATGTAGATGCTACATGCAAAACGTCTGCTGGTACAGTACAGCATGATGTAGATGCTACATGCAAAACTTGTGCTGGTACAGTACAGTCTGATGTAGAAGCTACATGCAAAACTTCTGCTGGTACAGTACAGTCTGATGTAGATGCTACATGCAAAATTTCTGCTGGTGCCGTACAATTTGATGTAGATGCTACATGCAAAACGTCTGCTGGTACAGTACAGTCTGATGTAGATGCTAAATGCAAAACTTCTGCTGGTAAAGTACAGTTTGAGGTAGATGCTACATGCAAAACTTCCGCTGGTACAGTACAGTCTGAGGTAGATGCTACATTTGTGTTTAGATGCGTTTTGTGTTTTATTGTATAAATTAAATGGGAGTC